AAATTTGATAAAGGACTTCAGAGTAATATATGATGTGAATGGTAGTAGAAAATATGTAACCAAATGTTTAATTATGTATCGTAAGTCATTAGAGGTAAGGATATGGGTGAGTGAAGGCCAGGGGTTGAGGGTAAGAATTCAGGGAGGTGAAGTAACTTGCACAGGCTCTTCTTGCAAAAAGCAAGTTCATAGAGTTAAAAGGAACAGTATGAACAGGAAGGAATATGGAAAACAACTGAGGAGATTTGCCTGCCTTGAGCAAAAATGATACTAGAGAGTAATGAAAACAGAAAATAGAGGGGAGGATATAGCTCAAGTGGTAGAGCGCATGCTTAGCATGCACAAGGTCCCAGGTTCAATAACCAGTACCTCCTCTAAAATAAACAAACAAACAAACAAACAAACAAACCGACCTAATTACCACCTCCCCTCCCCCGGTCAAAAAAAGTAAAAATTAAAAATAAATTAAAAATAAAAAAAAAAAGAAAATGGGATGGTTAGACTCAGGTGATATAGAGGGCCTTAAAAGTCTAGAATGAGATTTGATAACATTGAAAAATTGTAAGGAGAAGGAGAGAAGTGAAGTTTAAGCAAGATTAGTTTAAAATAGGTGTGCTGTCTATATATTATAGTGGGGAGAAACTGATAATCAAGGAGCTAATTATAACTTTGTAGTGGTATTCTAAGTGTGAGGTGGTGACTGCCTATGAGGGGGGTAGTTGAAGATAAACAGGGGAGTAGGATGCAAAAGAGAAAGTGATGGGTCTTGATACCTGACTAGATTTAAAAAGTGGGATTTGATTCATAGATTGTCAGCTTTGGTGACTTCTCTTCCCCATATATTTAATTAAATATAAGTAGAAAATTTTTAAAGAATAAATTTTGTTCTTTAGAGAAGCTCTTCTTTCTCCACTCTCTTCCCACCTACATATGTAATTTGAGAAAAACTTTACTGTCCTTAGGCAACTGATTAACATCTTTCTTTAATCTTTTTCCAAGCAACGTACTGTTACCACACATTCTGAAATAGCTATTACACATGTTAAAAGATGTTCAGCCTCACTAGTAATTAAAGAAATGCAGATTAAAACAACAAAGTTTGTTTTTATGGTAATATTCAATGCTGTAAGGCTTTAATAAAACACATATTCTTTTCTGATAGAGTAAATTGGTATAATCTTTCAGGAAAGAAACTTGACTGTATATAGCAAAAGACTTTAAAATGTTTAAGTATTTCTACGTCTAAGAATTTATAGTAAGGAAATAAATGCAAAAAGGTGATTTATGCCAAAATGTTCATTGCAGTGTTCCAAATTTTTCACATTTATAACTATATCTAAATGTATGGTAGTAGGAGTAAATGGCTAATTAATATGCCTATGGTGCACTATTCACCTTTAAAAATAATGTTTTAAGGAATTTAATTTTAATAAAGTAAATACTTATGATATGTTAAATGAATTCCAGTTTTACACACTTCAGTAAAATCCTATCATATCATGACTTTTTGACCTGATTTATAGCCATTTTTAGGGCAAAAATGTCTTACACTTCTAGTTATTCACCAACCACTACACAATAAAAACTAATTTTAGCCTTCTTGAGCTAAAAATTTCCACAGTGCCTTACATATGGTGCTCAACAAATATTACCTATTATTAGGAAAATTCTCTTAAGAATTTTCTTCCTAGAAAAGTATACATATTTATGTATACAACCAAGCATACACCCTTAAATCTTTTATGGACTACGTAAAGCCCATGTACAGATCCTCTTAACTAGGACCATGGTGGAGAACCCCTGTTATAACTGAAGAAATCTCTTTTTAGCCTTGAATATAGCTGAATCAGTTTGTTGTCCAGAATAAGGGGTGCCAGTTCTCACTTTCACCTGATATCCTTGGGATTGAGGTAAGACAAATTCAGTCTTCAGTTAATACTGCCTTTTTTAAATAACTGAGTAATTTAACACATATTTTCATAATTTTTCTCATTTTGACTGGTGATGCTCACATTAATTGGGGATTTGCCTCCCATAAACATATTTAACTAGGGTGATAGCTGGAAATGTATTGTGATGGTTCAGAATTTGCAACCCTTCCCATCTTTCATTTTGCCAGCTCCCTAGATCTTTACATATGACTGTTTAAGATGTTTCACCACCACCACCACCCTTTCCAAGTCTATTAATAACCCAGTAGCAGTAGCAATCAGAGCCCTAGACACTACAAAATGATAGAAGAGGAGAATAAGCTAAGGTAATCATGGTTAGAGAACTAGATCGCCAAATTGGGTTCAGTTCCAGGGCCACATTTAAGGGGGCTGTTGAACAACTGCAGAAGATAGCAACCGGATGTCAGAGGATATGATGTCCCACATCACGTGAGGAACCATGCTCAGAGCTAGGGAGAAGGGAAGACTACAGTAGTGACAGGCCAGCTCCTTCTTCACTACCTTAGAGAGACTACATGCTTGAGTAACAGTTCAGAGCTAGACTTACATTCACTTCCCAGCTCTACCACTTTCAGGCCACTATGGCCTGAGACAAGTAACTTAACCTCTGACTTCAGATTCTTTTTTTTGTTATGAAATAGAAATGATAATAGTACCACATGTAGGATTCTTAGGACTAAATGACAGTGTTTGAAAAGCAGTGCACAAAGGTTAGCATGCCTTAACTGCTCATTCAATAAATGTCATATAGCATTAAAAATGGTGATTCCTCTCAGGCTGAAATGAGAAAATAAGTTGATGTTACAGAAAGGCAGACTCTGGCTCAGTGTATGGAAGAAATGCCGTCCCTGAATATGTTCAGTTGAAGACTGGACAACTGTCATACGTCAGGGATACCTAGATGGTCTGCCATTTGGTAATAGGTTGTAGTCTAAGTTCCCTTCCCACCGTAGGATTCTGTTTTTATAAGGCCGATCAGCATGAAAACTATGCATTCTTAACATGGTTGTTTATGTTACAGAATTAAATCCAAAGAAGTTGGGCTATGAAATATCTTAGTTTGATACGAGATTTTTATTGGCTTCTTCAATTACACCATTTACAAATTGAGAGAACTTGCTAAGAACCACTGGTATGAGTGAGATTATTGGAATTAAATGTGAGTCACAGAGGCTTCCAAACAATTTTCTGTCTATGGAGGGAATTAACACCTTGAGAAAATTTAACTGGGTTTTTAAAATATAATTTATAAAAACGGTTTTTTTTTAATATGTCACAGATGCTGTTTAAGTTCCACCTAGAACAATTTGGAATGAATCTTAATAGTATTTTTGTTTCTCTATAATTTATATTCTGCCTCCTACTGGAAATAATTTGAAGCCACAACTTAGAACATTATACTAGATGGGTGAGGAAAGAAAAAAGAGCTAAAAGTCCTTTCTGCATTAGTTCAGGGAGCCAAATAATATATCTTTGTATTAACTACTGTTTCTCAAAGGGGAGTTATGCAGAGAAAAAAAACTCTGGATCTATGTATGGGACACAGTGGAAAAAGTGAAAAGGAAGACTACCTTTATTTAGAAGCAGAAAACCTAGGTTTATTTCTCGTGCTGCTGTTGTCCTGCTTTGCAGCTTTTCATAATTCATCTAACCTTCAAAGACTCAGTTACCTCCCGTGTAAGTCAGAGGAGAATCTTGCCTTGTCTTCCTCACATGGATGTTATAATACTTAAATGACCTAGTTTCTATATGAATGAGCTTTGTAAACTATAAAATATTACCAGGATTTTAATTGTTATTTGTGACACAAAAATAGCGTTCTGACCCAACACAAGAGTTATTTTATGTTTAAGAAGGAAATCATGAATTTACTTAAAAGCAACCAAAGATTGGAGGGCAGGGCATGTGGAGATGGATGATATTTCCTTCAGGATCTCCTTGTTTTCCTTTTACAGCTATTTTAAAACGGTAGGAAAAACACAATCCCCTTGAGGTCCTTTTACTCTGGCAAGAATTCAATATAAGAAAATCTTTAAAGAGAAAGGTAAAATATTTTCATTAGTACTCTTTTCCAGTCTATATTAGGCATTCAGGCCATTAGCTAATTTTTAGAGTATTTTACTTCCAGAGAAGTCACATTGTATTTAAAATTATATATGAGCTGCTTAGAAATCATGCTTCTTTAGAGCTAATTAAAAAAATTTTTTAAACACACAGATAAGTTGAAACAACAGAACACTGAACACAGCTTTTCTACCCTCACCTAGATTCACCAACTGTCACTTTCTTACCTTCTCCATCTTTATTGCTGTAGACGTACGCACACACACACTCCCCTTTTTGTCAGATCACCCACAGCCATCAGAAATGTGCTGTTTTAATGATCATTTTATCTGCTGTTCAAATGCAGCAGAGCAACATGATTCTTGTAAAATATAATTATTATATAGTTGGTGCCAGCTGTCAGTACTTATTATCTGAAGTCTTGGGTACATTTTATTGGAGGCAGGGGTACTCAGATTAAAGTTACCTTCTTAGTAATCCCTGCGTGTGCCCCCTAAGCTTGTAAGATCTATATGGTCAAAGAAGGAATATTTAACCACTTACTGGTAAGTTTAAGACCCTAAAAACTTATGGCAGTGCTTCTTAAGTAAAAATAAAATAGTCAAAGTACTACATATTTTTTAAGTGCCTTTGTTGTTCTATATAACAGGCTGAAATAGTCAAGTTTTATATTTTCAAGCAGTTTGGAAAAAGAAAAACACAGTGTTTTAAATGGAACATTTGTTCAAATTTCAGTATTTCATTGGTTAAAAGGTTTATTTATTATAAATTGATGCTATCTGATGGAAAATACCCATCCATTATAATCGCTTAGTCCAGGTATGACTACCACTGTAAAAGCTGTTTCTGGGGGAGGGTGTAGCTCAGTGGTAGAGCATCTGCTTAGCACCTACGAGGTCTTGGGTGCAATCCCCAGTACCTCTGTTGAAAATCATCATCATAATAAAAATTTTTAAGCTATTTCTTTCCTTTTTTTTTTTTCAGGAGATTTTGATGAATTCACTCAAGACAATAATGACATTATGTTGAAAAACATAGCAGAAGACCTTCGGAATTGCTTGCCCCTAGAAACCATGCTTTCCTCAGAACATCTAGCCCTCCAAAAAGTAAATACATTGATTAATTTACTCCTAGTGCTACTTAAGGGTTCTCCTCTTCTTCCCTAACCCCCTAGCCTTTCTAGTCTGCTCAGTCCTGAATTCTGCTTTTTCATTTGATGCCTCAACCATGTCCCCAATTCTTGAGGCTGTAACCCTCTGGTTCCCTAGTACCATTCATTGAACAAGTATGTTTTGAAGGTGTCCTGTTTGCCAAGCACTCCAAACCCCCTCCATTATCAAGGAAGGCCCAACAGTAATCTGTCCCTGCCTACATCATTGTCCTGGTTTTCTCTCCCCTGTTCCATTTCCCTGGCTTTTATCAAAGGTGAAGTTCACCCCTTTGTTTCCTTCTTCTACTTTTGCATTGCACAGTTTTTGCTTATTCTTCTATTCTGTTATTCTGTGAATTAGTTCTCATTTTTCTTCACCACATAACCCCCTCATTCAAGTCCCTTCAACTCCCAACTCTTATGGAGTATGTAAGCTATGAATATTGTTTCCTAAAGCAAAGCTAATACTAATAATTTCTTCTCCCACTAATTTGAAAATGGTGGCCCTCCATGTGGTTTTTTTAGCATGTAAATTCCTGAGCAGAGGCACTAAATCCTGTACATTTTTAGTCATGCTGTGCACATTGTGAGCACTCAGTAAATCTTAGTAAACATCCTATCATTCATAGGAGAAAAATAATGGATGGTATAAAAACTAAGGGAAGGGGAGGGTATAGCCCAGTGGTAGAATGCCCATTACCTCCATTAAAAAAATAATAAATATTTGTAATCCTTTGGATGTTATTAATAAAACAATTTTATCAGTATCATGATGTAATTTACTATAAAATGAGATAAAGGTATTCATTACATGTTAATGGTAGACCCACAATCCCCTGTCCCAACAAACTTTGGGTTTTTTTCTTCCTTTGTTTCCTTCTGGTCCTTGTATTTGTTCATATATTTTACATACTTATAATATAGATGTGTGTGTAGACGTAGATACAATTTTGTAGATTTCCAGGGCGCTAGGTTGATTCTCTATTACTGTTAAAGTAGAAGGAATCATGTTTTTCTCTCTGTAGCTGCTTGCTATTGTATCACGTACCAGCAGTATTATTAAAGAGCCATTATTTGTAAGTACTAAGTTTTACTAACATTTTTTTATTATTTGAAAACTTTGCTTCTGGGCAAAGATAACTTGCTAAGTGTTTTAATGGGTCACTGACGTGTAGGACTCAGACGTCCTGGTATTAGTTTCAGTCCTTCCCCCTCTTAACTGACTAGTGTCATTTCTTTGGAGAAACCTCTCTGGGTATCAGTTTCTTTGTTTGTAAAATATACTACTTAGGATGGACAAGATGTTCCTAAAATACTCCTTTCAACTAGAATTTTTATCTATTTCTCATATCCATGTTTTGCATCATGACAAGTCAAATAAAAAGTTGCTAGTGTTTCAGAAATAAAACGGAAGGAGAGCAGAGTTGCTGACTTCCATAAGCGAAACGTCTTTCTGGGCCTTGTTTTTGCTCTCAGAATTTCAGCATATGAACCACTGATGTTTTGCCTTATTTAGCAATAAAAAGAGACTTCTTTGTACTTTGTTTCTTTTGATGTTTTTCTTCTCTCCACCAGATACAGCAGCAGCCAGAACCCACAGTTCACGTTGATGCATTCCTTTATGATGAAGACTTTATTGATTCATTATGTGAGGAAGGAAAAATGAGCAGAAATTACTGTACAGTATGCGGCTCGCACCAGACGGCACCTTTAGGTGGGCACTCAAGCTTGCAAACCTGATGACTTCGTGTGTTCTTTTCCTTACATGTCATGAGTATGCAAATCCTTGACCAAGCATTCACTGTTTTTTGAAAGCAAAAGGCCAGCTTGGATGTACAGCCATTACCAATTTCTGCAGTCTGGGAAATTAAATAGCAACATTGCCCAGGGAGGCTAGGCCACTTCATGTCTCCCAGGAGGATATTTCTGCTTTTCACAGCAAATATTTAATCAGAGGTGACTTTTCAGGTCCAGAAACTAATCATAAATGATTGAGTACAGGGAAGCTGACTCATACTTTCCATACTCGAAAGATTCATAGTTGACATAGTGCTGATTTATTTACAATGAGAAATGTAGCCGTCAAGGGGGCTGAAAACATTCTCCTTATAGAAACATTTACTTGAGAGGTCAGATAATAATCAGATACTGTTGGATGGCCACGGACTCAAGACAGAGATAGATAATCTTGGGAAAGAGTTTATTCAGACCATGATTTGACCTAGTGGAGCATCTCTGGTCTGTAACACAGAATAGTGACAATCTCCTGCATCTCTGCCTCTCCGATGCAGCACCTGTTTCAAATGGGAAACTAGACTGACTCCGTGCTGCTAATGTATTAACTTTTCTGTTAGTGTATTTTTTGTCCAAACTGGATATGATCGTCTAGGCTGTTACTTTAAACATGCTGTTTCAGTCTCCCTGCTCACTTAGATTTAGAGATAGTGCTTAAAGTGGGCTACCCTTCCATGTAAATAATATTGTGCTCATATTACTGACCTTAGATAATAGTACTTTCAAAAGTCAACTACTACCAAATTTGTAATATGTTGCTAATAAAGATATACTGTATCTATGTTATAGTTGGGGATTAAACCACCCTGGTTTACTGGTTTAAGATTCTGTTTTTAGATAGCACTTAATGATTTCTATTTGAGGTAGCTGAAATTCACAGAAGAGAAAAGGACTTAGACATGAACAATGGAGGGAAAACTGAAAAGTAAAGTATAAATATAACACCATATCAGAGCTAATTTTTAGAAATTTATAGAAGAGCTGTGCTCGACAAATAAAAATTTGGAAATTAGGATGCATTTTTTCATAAAAATCAGGTTGTAAATAGTGACCGGGTCCCCAGGCCAGCCCACATACCTGTAATGAACCTGCAAAGGCTATCACCACGTGGGACCCCTCTTCCCTATACGAAAGGGACTTGCCTCCCTGCAAACACTAAGAATGACTCCGTAGCCTGGGGCAGAAGCACGGACATGTCACAGAGGGCAGTGTGGATGAGGGGAGGTAGGGACTATGGTGGTTAAAGCCAACCCCCACCCCTGAGGTGTTATTTCTGAGGCTGACTCACACCCTTTATTTTCTTCCGGGGGATTAGCCTGCCTGCTTCCTTTTTCTTGGCCACCATTCATTAGTTATGATCAAAGTTTCTGCCCTTTCTGACCATTAATATTATGCAGAACACGGTAGGGAAAGTCTTTGGGTTACTTCCATATCAGATAAAATAGACTCAGGTTCTCCCAGATGGTTCGTTACAGAAATAATGGAGTGAGAAGATGGGCTAGGAGGCTAGAAATTACAGTAATTGGACTAAGGAAAATAAGGATAATTCAGGAGTATCTTAGCCTCCTTCCATCTCACCCCTCTCCTGCACTCCAGAACACACTTTAGGTTGGTCAGGGCTGCCACTTGGTTCCACTCCAGAGACAGTCATTCGTTTGGTGATTTATAGGCTGTGCAGCAAGAGGGGGCAGCTGTGCGGTTGGCTTGGGGTAGGGTGAGAAAGCCAGGTGGTGTGGAGTTAGGGAGCAGTCACGGGGAACAACAGATCAGAGGGAGAGGAGAAAGGGAAAGACCAAGGACACCCTACACAGCAGCAAAACGGAAATAAGGGGCTCAGGATAGGGTCAGGCAGCTGAATAGACATTCCCTATAGAGGCCTTTTCATTGTTAGAGACTTCGTATTTGCTCTTGTCTAATACAACTCGGAGTGAATGAGTGCAAAACTATCACGTTAATTTTTTCTAAATAACCTCTGAATGGCTTTCATTGAATAAGAAAAACATGAAATATACTTTATGGTAAAAGAATTAGAAACCCAGAATGCAATTGTTAATCCCCAAGCAAAATTTGATGTTGACTCTATTCTAATTCTCCAGGGTTTATTTCTCATTCCTTCTCTCTCATGGAATTGAAGTTCATTTATCATCATGTACTCCCTGATCTGTCGGAAAAGATCTTGGTTGATGTTGGCTCCAGACTTGGCACGGTCCTCTATGGGGTAAAGTCCAGCTTGTGGACATACTCAGCATTTGGAAATACTTTCTTCTCCTGCTAGCAACAGTTTTGCCTGCCACCATCCAAGGTGACAGCTTGGCTTTATTTTTTAGAGTAACAGAATAATACGGTTAAAATAGTGCATTAAATTTCGAATTTCAGAGACCACCTCTCTCATTTCCTTTACTAGTTGTCTCTGTGACATAATGAAAGGATATCAACAAAACAGAGACAGGTGACCCTCAAAACACTTTGCTATTTTGTCACTCACTACCACCCTTCTAACTCCATTTTCTTTGTACTGTACTAAAATAATATACTGAGCTTTGATAAGAGCTCTTACAAAACTGACAAATTTGCTTCACCTAGGATATTGCATCTGGCCATAAGCAAGTCATTTAACACCTCTGGGCCTCAAGTTTCTCACCTGTAAGCAAGCAAACTAAATGATATCCAAGGCACAGCTTGCTCCAGTTTTCTGTGTTCAAAGTTTAGATGTAGACTTTTGTTTCTGAAATAACCACCTCAATGTGGCTTTTTAAAAAAAAAAAACTCAAATCTTGAGTATTTTTAATGTTTTTAAGTGATTTCATTAAAAAACTCAAATGTGGTTTCTGGTTGTCATTAACAGACTTGTTAAAACATGTGGCCAACAGCAGTAGAGGTTCCTGCCAGAAACAGGCCCTATCATCTCCCAGCACCACTGCCTGCTCTACACAGAAACAGTTAACTCTTTTTAAGGCTTAATTTATTTTTCAGTCTTGACGTTTATTCTATAATTAGGAAAGATAGCCATAATAAAAAGTACAGTGTGTCAGATGGTTTTATTTGGAGAACATTAGAGATTAGGATTGTCTACCATATTTTGTCCACTGCTGTTAATTTGTTGATTTGTTAGAAAAGTAGATAGCTGAAATAATTGTGGCTCTGCAGGTATTTGGCAGCATTAATGAATTTAAACATATTGTCATCTTTTTCCATATTAGGTCACTGGTTCAGTCATCAAAAAATTTTTGAATACTTCCATATGCTCTGTTGAACATACTCTAAAAACCCATGATGAACTATAAATGTAAATTTGGTTTACACATAGGTATTAGTTGATGTAAAAATCATCTTCAGATTATGCTTTGACCTTTTCTTCCACATTATTTTTGGTTATAACAACCAAAAATAGATACATAATAGTATATAGCTAGTTCTCAGTGCTCCTCCTTGTTAACTAATGATCAGTTATCTTTGGCAGATTGCTAGACACTGGCTGACTTACTCAGCCAAACAGGACACACCTCCAGCTACCCTCCTCTCGTGTCAGATTGCATTTTTGCCTGATGTAACTTCCCAAGAAATTACAGAAATAGGGTATTAAAGACTCTGTATGTGATTACTTTTCTCATTTCCAACTTTTTTAAATGTACCATTTAATCAGGAAAAGTAAGAAACCTTTAAAAACAATTACTTTTAAATAATGAAAATGAATAAACTACAATCAAGGTCTTGATGAGTAAGAGTCCTTAAGTTCTTGAAGTTGTTTTACATAAATTATAAAATGTTATTTATCGTTCATTTTATTTTTCTTTGTTGAATTCTGTTTTTAAAAGTTTAACTTTTTAAATTTCAAGTAGAAATAAACACAACTGAAAGTTAATTTTTTTGCATCATAATGTGTCTTCATATTTTAGGGTTATCTTTATAGTTCAGCATCGCAACTATATGGAGTAGAATTGAATGGAGACTTTTGCCAATTGCAGGAAATGGTCATTAAAAAATACCAGTTCACTGACAGAATAAAGGTACCCTTTTAAATATTTATTCTGTTATCCATTGTATAGCATAATTTAGCCAAATTTCCAACTGGAGTTGGAAAATCTTTTTGAATCTATTCTTAGCTGCTGTTCTGCAGAAACAGATTGAGTTAACTTAATATTTTAAAACATTAATAATAAAGGTTAATTATCATGTTCCACTCACATTTTTCTCTTCTTCCCCAATTAGAAAATAGAAATTTTTTTTTCTTTGTTTTCTTCACATCAACTAAAGTTTTGGTAACAACATTTTTGGATCTCTAGATATTGGTCAAGTGTATTTGATTAAATTCTGAATGTTGAAATTAAGCAAAAGGGTTAATGCTTGCAGTTCTTAATCTTCTTTTCCTAAGCTTTCAGGAGGAATTGTGGATGCCAGAGAATAGCAGTTCATGGAAGAATGATGCCCTGGATTGGGCTATGACAGAAATTTTCTCTTTTTCTTATACGTAAGGGGAAAATAACAGAAAAGGACAAAGGAAGCTTTTTGGTTAATACAGGAATGAATCCTTACCATTTCAGTAGCGATCCTACACCACTAATGGCAGTGCACAGAAACATTGAGTATCTCAGGGTGTCTGGTGTTAGGTGCAATTGCTATTGGAAGACATATCTCAGTAAGATTGAGAAGGGTCTAGCCTTCCCCTTTTTTATAAAAGGAAATTTTTTAGTTCTCTCCCTCCTTCCATCCTTCCTTTTCTCTCTCTCTTTCATCTTAGAAATTGAGAGGCAAATGAGCAAAGAGAATTCATTGTCCAAAAATAAATTCATGGATTTTTCTCACTATTCCATGTTTAATGAATAAGAACACACTGTTTTTACATAGTAAGAATCACATAACTAAAAGGAGTATCAATTTACTTAGAAATTGAGATTTAAACATTCTGGATATTATTTATTTGTAAGGCGAATTGCTTTTTTGGAAATAAATCATATGATACAAGGTATACTTTTCTTTTTAAAATGAAAGTTATTTTCTTTGCTCTTGAGTAGATAAATGTTTCCTCTTGTTATCTTGCCTATGGTCTACAAGACTTGTTGATTCTAGTCTTTGTTAATTTTTTGAGGTATATAGTTAAACAAATAAATTGTTTTGTTTGCTTTCTTGGACAGTTAATACGTTCAAGTGAATTTTAGATGAAGAGTCGTGCAAGACCAGTTAACATAGTGTATTAACATTTTACAATTTATAAATTACATTTATAATTTCACATGGTCCCATTTGATTCTTTGACTCAGGACAAATATTACCCCATTTTATTTATGAAGACACTGACTACCCAAGTGTACAAACCTAGGTGATGATGGAGCTAGAATTTGAAACTAGGTCCTTGAACTCACAACTACTGATATAGTGGGGAAAGCTCTGAACTGGGAGTCAAAGGAGTGTAATTATGGCTATATAAATAATTCCATCTAAACCAAATTAAATTTGCCCAAGTTTATTGTTTTCATTAGATGTTAAGTGTCTCCCATAAGCAGTAGTGTTAAATACACTGTTCTTTCTCCGATTTTAAGAAGTGTGAACCTGTGTTGCCTCACAGCATCATTGAACCAGTAGCTGTTTCTTAAGTGGTGGTATGATGCAGAGTCTTTGTTGTCTTACATGAACTCTTTCTTATTTCTTCTTTAGGTGCTTCACACAGACATCTGTACGCAGGGTTCACTTCTGCAAAATGCTGATATTATTATAATGAATAATGTCTTTGAATATTTTCTTAATGAGGCAGAACAGGCCAGGTACGTTATTTGTTCAAGCAAGAAATCTGTTGTTAAAATATATCCAAGAAAGTATGAAAAGGGATTGGTAGAAATGTTTTCTTATTAAACTTTTTAAAAAATTACCTCACCTGTGAAATTATATTAATAAGGAAATGTGTTATGTGTGAAAGAAAAATAAAACTGTCTATTTTAACTTTGTAAAATATTATATCTAATTTTGAGTAGAAAAAAAATGATTATTATGACCCAAGCATTTGCTTAACAGTCAGGGATGCAGGAAGGTATTAAGTCCCAGTGGGTCTTCATACTTCCTCTTTTTTGCCTCAGTTTTCTTTTCTTTTAAAAAACATGTCATATGCTATCCTGTACAGAATGATGAGAATTAACTAATGGCTATAAATGACTATAAAATAAGATATAAGAATATTAAGCTGGAAGACAGTGATTAATTATCAAATATTTAAAATGTCCTCAAGCTGGTAATGGTAGGTTCTTGGAGTTTATTCCACTATTCAAGCAATAGAAAAATTAGCAAGTCTGTGATCACTTTCCTGACTTCTTATCAGGACTTAACAGGTTCCTCTAATTAGAAAATGCCTGTAGTCTGTAGTCTGAGACACTGATTTTCTGGCCAGTTAGGCTTGCTGACTTATTTATCATAATGACATATATATACTTCACATGCAAGAAAGCTCCTTTCCATATATATGAAAGGGCTAGTGCATCCATGATGTTTCTACTGCTGAGAAATAAAAATGCATAAAATTATAGGCAATGAGCAATTAATATGGAGTAGAATCTTGAATGACTAAACCTCTTTATCCTGCCATCCCTTCACCATCTATATTCTCTCCCTCCTCTCTCTCTCTCTCTTTGACACACATACACACCCCCATTGCTTCTAGGTTAAGGCCAGTAAAAAATTAACAACTTAAATAGTTTAAAAGGAAACTGATTCAACAGAAAGCTAATCATATAGTCAAAGCTCAGCCAGAATGGGTGATGATTTTTGGTCACAGGCTAAAGACCAGAAACACAACATGAACAAAGTAGTTTTAATCATAGTACACTCTTTGAGCTTAATTTCCAGTGGGCAAAGTATGTTTAGCTTTTTATCTTTTTAAGTTAATGACCTGTGGCCAAAACCTTACACAGGTTTATGTTGTATAAAGAGTTAAAAGGGAAAAACACCTTCAACTCTTTGGAGATTCATATAGGAAGATTTTGAATGCTGGAGAATGATAAATGCTACTGGTCAGCTTGCTACTGGAAATACTGCATGTTTGGGTCGTTTTAAAAACTATCCTGGTACGTTCATTCACAAACTCTGTATGACTCACTGAATAGGTATTGACTACGTGTGTAGTTAGTTCAGTCATTTCTTCAAATTAGTCTAGTGCAGTGAGTTCTGAATACGGATATGTTATAGCCTCTCATGGTTAATATCTTCTCTTCGTCATAAATGACAGCACACAGGAGAAAGTTTAGGAGATAAAGCATTCTGTCCTGACAAAACTTACTGTGTACCTGTATTATTCTACGTTGTAGCAAGTAAAAGAGATGGCACAGCATATAGCCTCCAAAGATCTGTAATCTTGATCAGAACCTGAGGACAAGTGGAGATGATATTGCTATAGGAGTTAGCACATAAGAGAAAATAGAAACATATCATAATACTAGAAAACATACCCAGGAAAGGCTCAGGCTTCAGAAAAGCTAGATCTCATTACAGAGTAACACCCCACATTGGTAGAGTAATTCTTTAAAGGGTGCCTCTGTGTATTCTTTTCAGGAGGTGAAACATACACAACTAGTATAATGACAGTTATCAGAAACAGCAAGTGCTCTTTTGGGAGCCACGCACAACCATGCCAGTATACTCAGCTTCTTCATTCTTACTAAACTTGTAAAGTATGTAATTTCTAAGAAACTACATCAAAACAACAAACAGCTCTAGCCCAAGCACAGTGATAGTTATTATGCTACTAGGTTTTAGATCTAGCCTAAAAAAAAGAACATTTGTTATCATTTTGCCTAATAACCTCTATACCCAATAACCATTGCTATAATTAAAGGAAGTGCACGTGATACAGCTGCCCACCTGCCCCACTGCAAGGGTTGCACATCCCTGCTTTGCTTGACCTTTGCTCCTCAGTAGTACGGTGTACTATCAAGACTCATGCACAGTGTAGAAATCCAGTTCATGTCTGCACTACAGGTTAGTCAGAACTGGTCACACGGACACTGCCCTCTGACACATGCACATGGCATGCAGTCGTGCTTTAAACTTTGCTAATCCCACTAACCTCAGGTGCCGTTTTGTCCATAAATCTTTGCACTGAATATTTCTGACAGTCAAATTAAGTATGATTTCACTCTTGGTATTATTTTAAAAGATCTAATCTAGGTATTATATACTTTTATCATTAGGCTTTACTCGTCTTCTGTCTTCTATGGCCCTTCTCCATGACTCTTCCCCACTTCCACCCCTCATCCCTGTTCCATTCTGCAGAAATTTTGACAGTTCATAAAGAATTTAAGGGGTTTTAACACTATCCAGCTTTGACTTCTGCATCAGTTCTGAAAATTTCCTTTTGGCGTTACTCACAATCCCTTGTATTAACCCCAATCTCCATCTTGTTAAATCTCTTCAGTGCTGTCACTTCACAATTTGGCCAACACTAGAAAATTTACCAATTTCTAGTATGTTGCTGTGATCCTATTTCCTGCTGACAAACATTTTGCCCATCTGGAATATCACCTGTGCTGCGTTTTATTTTGTTCATCCTCACTTAAAAAAAAAAAAATCCAATGTCTGGTAAAACCTAACATAGTAAGTTTTTGATGTGTTGTAGAGCCTGGGACTACATCAGCCATAATGTAAGGAGACGGGGATCGTTACTAGTGACAGTACCAAGTCTTGAAGAGTCTCTCTCAGGTCTTCAGGTAGGTAAGCCTCCTTCCCAGCGTTTTCATTGTCAAAACGTTTCTCCCCTTTTCTGATAGCTGTTAACAGTGTTCTAGAAGTGTTCAGTCTGAATATAGTGACAGACGATAGACTAGCAAGGCCTTAGGGCTTAAGAACTGATTTGTGGTTTGTTCACTGGCCTTAAGAGCTCTGAAATTCTAATTCTGGTTTTGATATAGAGTACTTTGCTTCTCCACCCAGTTTTTCCAACTGTGCAGGTACAGTTTTAGGTTAGCAAATGCTATTATGTATTTGTAAGACTTAGAATACCCACATGATAACTTTTTTCCTGAGAACAAAAGGAACAGAGTTGTTTAGCCTTCTGGAATCAGTAAATGGCCTGGAGGACTACATCCTGTGCTCAGTTTAGCTTCTAGATCAATTGAGAATCTTGCACAAACTGCTTCTGTATTTCTCAGGTTCTCCGTATAAAATAAGGCTGATATTTAATAATAAGATTCAAGCCAAAAGACTGACCATTTATAAAGGTTAATTAATATTTGTAAAGCTCTTTGAGATCCCTAGAGGAAAGATACCATAGTTTTCTTAGTACAGTGGTATTATCATTTTCTTTAATAGAGCTTTCCTTGCATATAAGCACTGCCAAATTTAAGTACCTGTTTCTTCCTTTAAAAAACTAAACAGTCATCAGTAGTACCAAAATTTTTGTCTATCATCTGAATTACAGAAGTGATTCATGTTTGCCATAACGAGGGAAGTAATACAGAAATATATAAAGAAAAAATGTTAATCTCCCTGGTTTCCCTCTGACTAATTCCTTTCCCATGAGATATCTACCCCATGAGTGGTGTGATTCTACCATACTTTTTCACACTATATAAAAACATAGCTTTTAAAATATATAGTCTCCAGTTTATGATGTTTATATGTATTGAAATAATTCAGTGATTTTTCAGTTATCAAAATCATACCTTTCACACAAAATAAGTAAGTCCCATCTAGATAACCAATAGAAATTAACATTTAAGAGTCCTTATACAGAAATTCTTGAATAACTTTATTGCTTTCTTATCTAATGAAACTACTTTAGGCAGATACATCCATTGGTGGCTCCAGAATTTCTGTGTCATGGAGACCCAAGTTTGCAATGTGAAGGAAAGGGCCTGACGAAGGTTATGGAGGGAAATCAGCTCCTCTCATGAAACTTCTTAGTACCATCACTGTGTATATATGAACAGTTTTTCTGTGTTATTTGTATATTCCCATTGTTATTTTAGTCTTTTACTGTTTAAGCCTAATGATAATTATTAAATGAATTACATGAAAACAATTATTCTATATGTTCTTTATTCTTTCAAGTTCCAAAATCCAAGTATTAAGTCCCTGAATCCACAGACTTACCATTTAGTATGACAAAGAATACATGTACATGTGGCATCATCTTGTAGAACTTGGTCCCACTCATTGTAATAAATATCCGTTGCGTTCAGTTACTTAGTTAGTCGTGATTTCTTGAAATTCAAGACAGTAGGTTCATCCTGCAATATTCATATTTGTTTGTAACCTTTTTTTTTTCCAGGTTAATATACAGTTATCTTCCTGGGTTGATGAAGTACCACTGAACTATGATGTCTACCCAGAAAAGGATATTGACAGGGAAGCCCTTAAACAAATACATTTATATAAGATTCTCTAACACTAAAATAGTCCTATCTCAGTGTAATGCTTTGTTGAATATATTACAAAATAATGAAAAAGAAACATAACCCCAGTATCCTAAGACCTCTTTTTTCTGTCTCCTTTTTGGTCTTTGTACATATGCTTACATATTTGTAAATAGTTGTGTGTGTGTGTCTATGTTTGCTTTGCGTGATAATTTTATTAAAATAGTTTATCTGAAAAAAATTTCGTTTTCCCCTGGTTTCTTTTATTCTGTTAAAAATATAAATACGTGTCTTTCTTTAGTCACTTACTCTGTATACCAAGTCCAGATATGACACAAAAGAAGATCAGAAGTGGCATCTATCCTGGGACAGGGGCAGAAGAGAAGGTAGGTTACATTGTACCCCATTGATTATATCTCTGTTCTGTAAAGATTCCTTGTACACAGCTTAATCTGAGGAGCCTAGCGCGAGGACTAAAATAAATAATTGCAATTTCTAGAAAAAAGCAAAACTAAAGAAATAGCCTTTAAAATATAAAGAGATTCTATCTAGGTGGAACAGTTACTGATGATTTAATTTTTTTCTTTTCTGTGCTTTTCTGAATTTTCCATTTTTTTCTGTAATGATTGTATTTCTTGAAATCAGGAAAAGCAAAACTTTTTTTTTAAAGAATACAATGAAACATCAAAATTTAAACACTTAACTAGTTCCAGTAATCTAATGTTTAGAATTATATTTAAATTACTTTTTTAAACCAAACTAAATCACATTTTGGAATTGCAGAACCTTTTGCAGATCTATCTTTTAAAAGGGATTTATCTAATATACTTTTTGTCATCACTTGCTTCTGAAAAAGAATTTGCAGTGACAGTCAACTCTTAACTTTTAAAAGAAAATTATTGGTCAGTAGGCAAACAAAATGCTAAAAATATAAAAACAAGTTTGGAACTTCACCTTTATTTTGATATTAATAAGTTTAATATTTAGGACCTGGTATAATACTGAATATCAGAATAAATGCCGGAATGAATTCCAATAATTTCACACAGGCATTATTTATTCCTGCTAACCCATTAAACATCTTACCATGCTAGTCACCCAAAAAGAAGTCACTATAAACTTCTGACATCTCTGAGTAACGATTGATGGATGTTCCCAGGAGGCTGTGAAGATTTTTTGAGATTTTGGAAAGATTTATTGAAAAGGAGAAAATTTAAAGTATTTTAAAGTAGCTTGTAGCCATTATTTATATGATTGTTTTATATATAATTAAATACATTTATTGGTTTACTATAATAACTTACATTTAGGCACTTAAACTTCAAATACAACAAAGAATAAAACTAGCAAATAGTGTTATATAAGATATAAATAGTAATCATCCATGAAAAAATGAGTTTATTAGTAATGTGACACATAATTATAAACATAACACTTAATTGAATTCACTTTACGCTGTGCCTATTCTTAAGAAACTATAATTGCTAAACTCGGAAACCCAGTGGCCCTAGTGCTTGACTGCTCCTCAGAAATAAGCCTCCGAAGCACAGTCTGCTGTGGCCCTTGGGTGAGTGCCAGAACTCCCATTCCGGAAGGCCCTGGACAGGACAGGGAGAGCATGGGCAACACTCTAGATAATGAGGGGGAAGTCTGTTTGCACACCTAGTTTCAAATCACTCAGCCCCTCCCCTGTAAAATAAAAGTATTCAGCTACCATTAGTAGAATATAGTCAAGAGTACAGATTATAAGGAGGTTTCCATAGGTAGATGATTAAAGTTACAGAAAAAGAATGGATGATTTTTTAAATACTGTTGTCATTGCTATTGTTTTTAGATGTTAAAATAAACTGGATCTTTAGCTGATAGAAAAGAAAAAAAGGTGTAAACAGTCTAAAATATTGGAAAATATTCTGTATGGTATGTATGTGCTTAACACATTTTTAAACAGATCCTTGAGGCAAATATTAGAATTATAGGATATTGAGGAGACATTCCTATACTACTATTAATATTCTGTATATGGCATTATTTAAGTTTTTAAATGTCTATATATTGGTCTAGAGTCAATTACTGTCATTTAAAAAGGTAATTTTTCACTTTTGGAGAAGTTTTGGTGTCAGAATTCTTACACTTCTTGCAGTTTGTCACTCCTTAGCTTCAGCCTCCCTCTCTACCCTCTGATGTCATGCTGTCTGTCTCCAAAGGCTGCGGTTATGGGGTGGGGGTGCGGGGATAGGGAAGGGAGTAAGAGTTAAGATACTTTCATATTTCAGCAGCCAAATGAAAAATACACAAAACAAAAAGAAAAACACTTTTTCATATAGCATTACTGGTGCTCAGGCAACTGAAAACATTAAGATAACGGTAAATGTCCAAATTATTTGTCTTGTTGCCTTATAAAAATACATAACCAATTTGATGAAAGTTAAATTGATAGGAAACAAAATTAAGTTGCTTATTAGAACTTGAGGACTTTTTTCTGCCAGTGTTCCTTTAAAATTACTAAACTCCGTAGAACATATCCAGGTTTTGTCACCTCATTCCTTTATCCAATCTCCAGTCCCCTCTTCCTAATGCAGACCCCTTGAGATCCTAACCAGGTCCTGTTTTGGGATAGCACAGCTTAAACATCCCAGAGTTTCATGAAAACCTCATCAGTAGACATTATGAGGTATTTCCTATTGGTGAATTCTACAGCCATTCAGCTATTAATTGCACTAATTATACAAACATGTATATAAGCTCCCACTCTGCCAGCCTCACAGATACAAAAATAGAACACTTGGCTTCACCCTGAAGGAACTCACACTGTTAAGGAGAGCAAGGGACACAATAGATACAGGGTAAGAGAAGTTGTTCCTGGTAGAGGGAACAGTATGTGCAGAAACACGGAGGACAGTATTTTAGTTTGTAGAGTCCAGGCTAGGATTACTTCACCACATCAGGGTGGTGAAGTAGGTGGATGCCAGATCAGAAGGGCATGGTATGCCAGGCAAAGGAGATCCCATCTTATTCTGAGTCAGGGTGAGCCATTCAAAGATTTTTAAGCAGCATACTGATACAGTCAGAATAAAATTACAGAAACACAATTCTGGAGACATGATCTATGATGATTAAAAATAAGGGGCAAGGGGATAGCCTTGTCAGGAAGCCACTGTGGTGGTCCAGTGAGCCCAGTAGAAATGAACTAAGGCAGTGACTCTGGGGATGGAGGGAAACAAAAGGGGGCAGGAGGTGTTTAGAAGGCCTTGGCAGTTTGTTGGGGAGTACATAAATCCAGAAGTGAGTAGAATTTTTAAGATTACATTTCTAAAGATGCATAAGAAAATGAGGCATTATAGCAAATTTATTTAGTCAAAAGATAATAGCAAGAAATCTCCTCAATGGAATCAATATCAGCATAAGAAAAAAGTTAAATTCTAAGTATATGACCCAAAAAGGAATGCTAAAAAGCAAAAACTAAGACAACTTGAAAAGGACCCTACCAAGAGTGAAAAAATACACACAAGATAAACAATGTTATTAGCACTGAAGGGAAGAATTTAGATAGGGCACAGAGTTCCAAACATTTTTCATGTAATGAAGTAAGAATCTAGCTGCAGGGGTGAGGCGGAAACTAACCCTTAAGGGTTTCACTGGGGATGTGATAGCACAGTAAAAGATTTCTGCTTTTAAGAACTCATTTCCTGGATACAATATTAATTAAACAGGCCTTGGAACTTGGGCTGCTCTTAACTTCCCTAGACTTGTCCATGTGCCTAAAGCAACTCAACCACTTCAGGCTGTAGCTTACCCACTTGTAAAATTAATTAATGTTTTCAGACCATGAGTTTCATGAGTATGTACACTACTGAGTGATAAACACCTTGAGATATACACATGAAAAAGCACATACATAGAATACAAGTTGGAACTGATTTTTGTCTCTTTATCCAAAGGAGTATCCCAAGAAAATTAATAGATATAATAGTCATAATTGTATCAAGCGATTGTATCAATGTTCATTTCTAAGAGCGTTGAACTTCAGGTTGCTTTTTGTCAACAACAATGATCCTATGGTTGTTAAATTATCTAAAACTTAATGGTTTTCTCAAATTTCTACTTTCTTGGAGGAAGATGAGGAAAGAGAAATATGCCCAAGATAACCTCCTAGGAATAAGTTCAATGTGGATTACTGAAAATATACTTTTGTAGACTGAAAAATATATATATGAAAAATCTCACCTAAATCTAATGGAAGGAAATATCACAAGCTAAGGAATCAGTTCTTAAGCAGACTCTATTAAAACACTTCCATACTGGGGAGGAGGGTATAGCTCAAGTGGTGGAACGCATGCTTAGCATGCTCAAGGTCATGGGTTCAATCCCCAGTACACCCTCTAAACATAAAAAAAAAAAAAACCACTTCCATACTGACCTAAATCAAAGACAGATTCCTAGACCAGGAAGGGTGATATATATTTAAGTACTGAGTCCTCAAGGAAGATTTTCAGGCCAAAAAAAAATCCCTAAAATTTATTGACACATTTGTACACAGCACATTACCTATTGACCATGTCAATGGATCAGTGAAGTAAGAGTTATTTAGTAATCTCATTTAACACTGAGTTTTAGTGAAGGTAAGAAACTTTCCAAATGTTGTTCAGCTAGTAAATGGCAGAGCCAGGATTCAACCCTGTTTTCTATCTGAACTCCAAAGCCTCTGCTCTTTTGTTATGCTGCTCTATGTTTTCAATTTCATAGCCTAATATTAAGGACAAAATCAACAGATTCTCATGAAGAGAAGCCTCTTCATTTTGCCTTTGGATTCCTCATCAGTATGAGAGTTGCTTGAGCATTTGTCAAATGTATGAGTTACAGCTATGACTTACAAATCTGTTGAGTGTTTAATCCAAGAGGAAAAATGACAACTAGATCAGAGTTCAAAATTTGTGGCTTTTAAGTAAAAGAGAAGCACAATATGGCTTTAATATTTGTATTGGTATTGCTTAACACGATGAATATAAACATCCTAGATGGAAATTATTAATGTGATTCTGTTTTTACATTGAAAGTTACTTATATTGAATGTTAAGTTCAATCTCTTCCCTTTTTTCTCTCATTTACTAAATTGTGCATGCATTATAAAATAATACCTGAAGTTTTCAAAAGCAGAAGAGATGGAAAATAGGCGAAGATTTTGGCTTATAGGCAGAAGGGGCAACTAGCAGAGACTATATATGATTTACTTAAAACAATGACTCAGTTTTTGGATTCCAGCTTTGTTTACTTTTCCTTGCCAAAACAGACATCATTATTCAGGTCAAACTGTAAGGTGCAAATAAGAAGAGACACTTTCTGTTGGAAGATGAAGGATTCAGAGAAGTACAGAGTTTTAGAGTTAGGACTTACCTTAGGATAAACTAGTCTAACTCCATTTTCTTAGAAAAAGAAAAATTATATTTGGAGCTTCTTTGCATAGTGGGAAAAGGCAACTGCCTTAAAATGTATCTGTATTCTGCCAACCTGGGACCCACAATTTATGGGATAAAATTAAGCTTGAAAAATACTTTAGGTTGATGTTGAGAAATTAGAACCTTCCTATATTGCTGGTAGGAGCATAAAGTGGTGTGGCTGCTTTGGAAAACAATTTGGTAGTTCCTCAAAATGTTAAACATAGAGTTGTATGACCTGTACTTCCACTCCTAGATACATACCCAAGAGAAAGGGAAATATACATCTAGCATAGAAACTTGCACTATGAACAGATACTCATAGAACATTATTGTGATAGCCAAAAAGTCAGGTAGGGGACACATATCAACTGATGAATGGAACTGATTTATTCAGAATAAAAAGAAATGAGATATTAATCCGTGCTAGAACATGGATGAATCTTTGAAACATTATACTAAATGACAGAAGCCAGTCACAAAATATCACATTCTATGATTCTGTTTATGTGAAATGTCCAGAATAGACAAATCTATAGAAACAGGAAGTATGTTAGTGGTTGTTCAGAGTAGGAGTGGGGCAGAGGGAGAATGGGAGGGGACTACTAATAGATAAAAAATTTCTTTTGTGGTGATAAAAATTTAGGTTGTGGTGACAATTGCACATTTTCCTTGTGCCTAAAGAAATACCTTTTCCATTTCTTCAACTGGTCTGCTGGTGAGTAATTCTTTCTGCTTTTATATGTCTGAAAATGTCTTTATTTTCACTTTACTTCTGAAAGGCCTTTGCTGGATTCAAAATCCTAGGTTGACAGTTTTATCTTTCAGTATTTTGAGGATGTTGCTCATGTACTCTGGCTTGCACTGCTTCTGTCATTCTTACCTTTGTTGTTCAGTATTTGTATCTTGTTTCTCTGGCTGCTTTGGGCGGTGGCAGGGGGTGGGGGCAGGTGGTGATTAGGTCTATTTATTTATTTATTTTAATGTAGATACTGAGGACTGAACCCAGGACCTCATGTGTGCTAGGCATGAGCTCTACCACTTGAGCTATATCCTCCCCCCTCTTCTGGCTGCTTTTAATATTCTATTTTTATTACTGGTTCTTGACAACTTAATTTTGATGTGCATTGCTGTGTTCTATTTCATGTTTCTTTGACTTGAGATTTATTGAGCTTCTTGGATCTGTGAGTTTATACTTTTCATCAAATTTGGGAAACTTCTGGTCATTATTTTATCAGATATTTAATCCATCCCTCCATTTTTCTCCTCCCCTTCTGAGACTCTAACTATGTTAGACTGTTAGGCTGCATGATGTCCCTCAGTTCAGTGATGCTTTCCCTTTACTCTTTTTCCCTCCAGTCTTATCTTTCTGTGCTCTGTTTTGAATAATTTCTGTTGCTATGTCTTCAGCTTTACTAATCTATTCTTCAGCATTGTCCAGTGTGCTGTTAATCCTATCCAGAGCATTGTTCATTTTAGACATTGTTACTGTTTTTGTTTGTTATCTCCAGAAGTTTGATTTGGGTCTTTTTTTAACATTTTTTTAGTGAGTTATAGTCATTTTACAATGTTGTGTCAAATTCCAGTGTAGAGCACAATTTTTCAGTTATACATGAACACACATACATCCATTGTCACATTCTCTCTTGCTGTGGGTCTTTTTTTTAGTATTTTACATACCTCTTCTTTCCATGCTTGCACTTTCCTGTACCTTTTTGAAGATATGGAGTATATTTATAATAGCTGTTTTAATATCCCTAACCTATTTAACTAATTCTATCATCTGTGTCATTTCTGGGACTGATTCTATTGATTAAGTTTTTCCTCATTACAGATTGTATTTTCCTGCTTTTTGAATACCTTCTAAGTTTTGACTGGATGCCATTGTGCTGGAGTTTTTGTATTCCTTTACACATTTGAGGGTTTTGTTCTGGGATACAGCTATGTTACTTGAAAACAGTTTGGTCCTTTCAAAGCTTACTTTTAAGCTTTGTTGGGCATGTCCAGAACAGCCCTTAATATAGGGCATATTTGGCTCAACTGCTGAGGCAGTGAACTTCTGAAGACTCTACTCAATGCACTACTTGTTAGGCGGTCTTTCCACTCTATCTGATTTTTTTTTTAATTTCAAAAGATGGAGGAAGCTGAAAAAAAAATAGGCAAAGAACAAAAAGCCTAAAATGAACAATTGGGAAGAAAAACAATCATGATACTTTGCCATGATATATAGTACTAGCTAATAATTAAGCAACTGAAGTAACAACTCAAAGGCTTTTAGAAAACATCAAAAATTCTTTTAATCATTTATTAAATCGTGATTTTTACAGCTTCAAGCATTAAACACATTCTAGGACTAGCAACTTTTTAAAAACCCACCCTTCTGCAATTTGCTCCTAAGTAAAATTTGAGAAATTTGCTTAAAATTCTGGAAGGCCCAGAGCATAAAACTTAATTTTCAAGTGGTTAGTTGAAGCCACTCTACTGAAGCCAAAAACAAGTAGGATAATTTTCCAGCACAAGTTACAGAATGACAGAATGGAGAAGGCAACTCAGAAGAAATTATTTTTTTTAACTTTCAAAATGAAATAATAAATATATATTTTTCCCATGTCTGTTTAAATAAAATCACCTCAGATGAGTTATCTCACATTTTCCAAACAGAAAAATAATCACCTCTATGCCAACAAAAGGCATGGAAAGTTTCAAACACAGTTTTCATACAGAGTGGTGCAAAGGAAGGGAATTGTAATACTATGACCTCTCCAGCAGGCTTTCCTGGACCCTAATCACCTAAAAGCTATATGGTCAACGTTCTTGTTAAATGGATGAAATGAGCCCACAGGCTACTGATAAGATGAAAAGCACAGTAGAAATGATACTATATAAGGGTGCCAATGGGCTGGGGATGTGGTTATTACCCTCCACTAATTGCCCAAGAATAAAACATCATCTGCTCCTTTTTGAGGCTCATAACGATCCCCACTTCTTGGCTTTCACATCCTTGTGTAATTTCCTCCCGTTGTGGGTGGACTGAACCTAGTAACTTATTTCTAATGAACAGAATATTGCAAAAGTGATATCCTATCTGAGACTGGATTACAGTATCTATGTCTTTCATCTTTCTCTCTCTCTCTATCTTTCACTTACTCATTCTGATGAAGCAGACTGCCATGCTATGAGCTGCCAAATGGATAGGTCGAGGTGGCAAAGAACAGAGAACAGCCTCTAGTCAACAGCCAATGAGGAACTGAGGCCATCAGCGCAACACCCTGAGAGGAACTAACTCTTCCCAACATCATCCTGAGTGAGGCAGAAGTGGATCTAGGTCCAGTCAAGCACTAAGGCTGTAAAAACAGCCAGCGCCTTGACTGCAGCCTTGCGAGACACCCAGAGTCAGAAGACCCAACTGAGCCATGCCCAGCTTCCTAACCCACAGACTCTGAGATAATAAATGTTTACTGCCTCAAGCTACTAAGTGGTAATTTGTTGTGCAGCAACAGATAACTAATACAGATTCCACTTGATAATACTAACTTACCTTTACCTCAAATCTTATTCAATTAAAGAAGAAATTAATATTCATCTGAGATTCATTCTTTACCCAGTCAGGGTAGTTACTCCCTAGAAAAATCTTAGAAACTTGCCAAGAGATTGTGTCATGATCTCACTTCTGAGTTTAGAAATTAATCTTAAAGAATTAGAGTTTCCAGTCACACTTTTCCATTAAAAAACCACAAGGTTCTATTTTTACAAGCCATAGGGATCTAATTAGCTCTCCACTATTCTGAAAAATAATAAACTCCTATCTCTGTAGTAACTATCTTCAATTCTGGAAATAAGTGCTCTGTAGTAGAAATTATCAGAGCTGTAGATTTTAATAGACATACGGATTTAATTAAACCACTTTAGTGAAAGCTCAACTGGAGAATGGACAATTAATTTGATAGTTTTCATAAGTTGTTAATTTAAGAAATTCTTCTCAAGCTTGTGGGTACATAGATGTTTCTTTAGTTATTTTTAAAAAATCTACATCTATGTTTTGTATGTTCTTTGGTATGTATATTTCATAATAAAAATGAGGTTTAAAAAAACTGCCTTATTCTGACATTTAAGACTGGCTAAAAGTTCAAGTTTTAAAGGGTACATATGGTAGTCATCTGAAAAAAAAATAGTGGTTCCTAAGCTTCCACTACATTTAATGTTTCCGTTAATTCTCCTAAAATTGTCTGAGTCACCAGTTTACCAAAGATCAGTTACTCAGGTCCTCTAGAGTTAACTAATCCTTTAGTTTGGGATGATAAAGGGTGAAAGAACAAACATTAAAGAGAAGCCCACAAAATAAGAAAGAGAAGTTATTCCTGCAGTTACCTCCTTTTTCATCCTCTATGGGCTTTAACACCTGCCCATGTGAACTGGTGCTCTGCCCTTTCTCAGATGTTCAGTCAGAACCCCAAGGACTACCTTTGACACAGAAGTGAACCATCTATGCCTTTATTAGTCATCTGCGTTTTAACTCTTACTACTAATATCCAATTATATCATTCGTTGAGAACCAGTAATGCATGCCACCTATGACTTTAAAGTTTGGAATTAGATTGAACTTGCAACTCTGTAGAGAAATCTGGTTTGTTTTAGAATTGGATAACTTTAGAACTTCTGTTCACAGTGTTGTGTTTTTTTTTAATAAACTCAATGCCACTTTTTATTCTTTTAAAATTATGTCTCAGTTTTTCATTCATTCAGTAAATATTTATAGACCTTTTACTACATATCTGGAACTATTCAGGATAGGAATGCAGCAGCGAACAAGATAGACAAGCTCATAGTCCTTACGGCGCGTACATTCTTCTTGGGGGGAGGGGTGGGAGTGGCCAGGGCTAGACAAGCAAAATAAATTACCAGCTGGAATTTTGTTTGACATATCTTTCAATAACATATGACCTACTGTCATTTAAGGATTACTATATATGCACCTATGTGTTACTGTGTACTTCTTAAAACAGGTTTGTAATAAAGTAACAACATACCCTGTCCCCTTTTCTAAGTCTGTCTTAGGTTAAACCACACACACCTATGACACCTATATATTATATGATCAACATCTTAAACAATAGTTTTGAAATTTGCCCTGAAAATTGAGATATACACACTTAACATTATACTCATTAAAATAGGAAGGGATTAACCTTTATCAGGCATATACTCAGATCAAGTTAATGCCACTTGTTTTTCTTTTTCTTTCTTTTTATAAAAATTAAATAGTTTACAACTAAATACCAAAAAAGTAACTTTGTGTAAGCCCGATCTTTCAGTTCATGAATATTTACTGAAAATAATGAAATTAGTTATCTTGGAAGGGGAGACGATTCAGGTAAGAAAGACCTGGGCTGTCCATTTGGAGTAGACTGCTTAATATTGTATGGGAGGCATTAAGCAAAAGCAAACTGGAGATGAAAAGAACCACCGAAAACTTTTCTCCTCTATGACCTCCATGTTGTATCCCACGTGACGAGGGTGTGATTCCACCTGAAACACAAACTTACCCTTCCCTGCCCAGACACCGAGATGGCAGAGTAGAATGGATAGAGCTCTGTGTCTTTTCCTGGTATTACCTGCCAGGGAGGAAAATCTGTTACACAATTTCTGCACTTAACTCTGCCTAATGGGGACTTGGGAGGGGGTGGATATCTGTTAATACAATGCCAAATAGTAATATCAAAGCCACAGGCGTGATACATTTGTTTGCAAAACAATATTATGAAGATGCAATGCTATCAGGAAGAGATAGAAAATGTTCCAGAAGGGAATGTGGACACTGGGAAGCCAACCGACATGAAAGTACTGAGGCTGCCCTCTAGAAGTGTACTTGAGATAAGGTCCAAAAAAGCCTTTCCTGCCCTGTTTACACTGCTCCCCCAGAAGAAATCTCAAGAAACTGAGAAGTCTTTATTTCTTTTTTGCTCCTTCCTTTTTTAGCTTTTTTAAGGTATTTACGTATTTTTTGGCAACTGTATAGTGAGAGCAATTTTTTTCTTTCCCTCTACCCCAAAAGGTTTTGAGGTCTCATGCATATGAGTGAGCAGATGCCTACTTTCCGGGAGAATGCAGCTCCAGGAAACCCAGACCAAAAACAACGACATGCGCACCGGAGGCAGTGATGGAGCTGGGTTCCCTACCCTTGGGAAACTAATATTAAAACGCCCCTCTACAAATGGAATTCCTAAAAAGATAATAAACTTTGTGGTTTAGGGGGAACAAGAGTAGGGAGAATTTACTTGTACACATAACACAGTGCTATGGGATGGTCCATAGCCCCAGCAGAGAGAGTTGGGGCACAGTCAACAGTTTTCATCAAGAAGCAGACAGCTACAGCTTTGGATGTCCAAGGCACTAGAAGTGACAAGAGCAGCTACTTCCATTAAGGGAAACATAGAACTGAAAGCTGCAAATTACTCTTTTTCTATTCAGTGTGCTGCTTTCCAGCAAGTCACGTGTTTATCAGACTTCCCTTTATTTAAAAACTGAGCTATACTTCTTTCCCACCTACCAGGTGTCTTCTGAAATACAGTCAACATAAAGCTGTGTTTTGGCTACTTTTGTTTTTTAAGAATAATTCCAAATCACCATTTTTAATCGACCACAGAGGACCTGATTGAGTGAGAAAGACTAATGTGTTCCAGTTGCCTTGTTCCCCTTTGTGACCAAGCAGGAAGTTTCAGAGCAAACCTCCACCTCTCAGGAAGTGTATGTCAAACTGAGTATTGACATCCTGTTTAATAGAGTCTTAAATTTTTCCCTCAATTCTAGATACTCACTATTTGAATGAAGATGTTTGAGTAATCTGCCCTGAAATTATGTTTCCTTTGACTTTCAAAAGACTACGTATATCTGTTCTAAGTGACAAATGGAATATCTCTATGACTAATAATGATGAAAGTTAAAGTTTTTCTTAGTTGTAAGTGCCTATAATTATAACTCTATTTATAGCCCTATTCCCTACCCCTTATTTATTTGATCTCTCAAGTAGGTCCTTATTAACCACGTTCTGAGTCATTAGTTATGCAGCGTATACACTAAAAGCAAGCAAATAAAACCTTCAATGGGGCATCCTGGGGCTTCCCTCCAGGACATATAATGTAATATCGAAGAGAGGGAGGTGACAGGGCAGTAGTTCTGGATCTTCTAGAAACTGGCTGTTGACTATGGCTAAGTCCCTTAACCTTTCTGGCTTCTGTTTTCTCGCCTGAAAATGTGAGGGATGGGTTAAATCTTTAGTAGGTTCTGTATGATTGTACTATGGGGAAGTGGAAATCTTTCTCTCAGATATGGTAAAGCCATACTTACATTTTAAAAAAATTCTAAGGATAAGTATGGTTTCATCTTCTTAGATATTTGATTGGGATTTGTTATGGTTGCAAGTAATAGAAATCCAAATGGCTCTTGTTTAAATAGGAAGATGAATTTATTACAAAAAGCACAGAAGGGTCTCTTAAATCAAAGGACAGGAATTTGGCTGCACATAAGATGCCAGGAAGGCAAATCCAAAGGAAAGGTGCTTTATCTCACCTTCTCTCCATAGACCAGGTTCTTCTGCTTCCCCTGATTACATGATGGAAGACAGAACACTCTGGAAAGTTCTTGAATTTACAAGGAATCGTCTAGGCATATGAAGAGAGACGGTTCTCAGTCCAAATGCCGTATTTCCAAGAAAAGACTCCAATTCCTGCATTAGGACAGATGACCACCAACTGTCATCCAGGTTTGGGACCACTTAGGCTGAACATAACAGTTTTCACCACAATCCTGTAAAAGAGGAGGAAAGAAATTTCTAGAAAGAGGATAGAAGTAGAAAATCCTAAAGATATTCACATACAAAAATACTACTTTACACAATAGTAATTTTTATGTCAAAATAATTATAGATTCACAGGAAGTTGAAAAATTAGTACAGAAAATTTCCACTCAGTTTTCCCCATGGTAGCATCCTATGTTACGGTAGTACAATATCAAAACCAGGAAACTGACATTGGTACAATCCACAGACTTCACCACTCAGACTCAGATGTCACCACTTTTTTTTTCAGATGTCACCACTTCTACATGCACTCATTTGTATGGTGTATAAAAAATCTACAAGATTTTATCACATCCTTAGAGATGTGTGTAACTACCACCACAATCAAGATCCAGAGCTATTCCCTCACCACAATGATCCTGAACATAAACGCACAGTTCAATGCATTTTCATGAAATAAATACGCCCATGTAACTCAGTTCAAGGCACAAAAGCACCATCACTTCAGAAGGCCTCTTTATACTCCTTTTGAGTCACTACCCTCCCTGAAGAGTAAATCACACATATCATGTACTTTTTTGTACCTAGCTTCTTTTTTCACTCATTTTTTCTTTCTTTCTTTCTTTTTTTTTTCAGTGGAGGTATTGGGGATTGAACCCAGGACCTTGTGCATGTT